GTTGAAGATGATGAAAATTCAATTTGGTCCCTCAATTTTAGAAAATTTATAGATTGGTCCCTGGAGCCTATTCCGAGATTCTGAACAGAAGTAAAGATAAATTATGGGCAGAATTCCTGTATAGTTATCAAATTTTAACATTTTTAATTTGGTCCTTCAATTTGACAAAAGTTTGATAAAATTCTAGAATGGTCCCTGAAGTATAATGAGATGATCTGGATAGAAATATGGATTGATTATGGTTAGAATTTCAGTATAGTCATGGATTTATGATAATTTTAGTTTGGTCCTCCAAATGGATAAAGTTACAATTTGACCCTTAAAAATATGATAAATTATAGATTAGTCCCTAGATGTAATATTAGCTTTTGCAGATGGGTTTGATGAATAATTGAGGGTTAGTTAGTGAAGTATTACCAAAAAATTTTTTATATTATTATAATGTCATGAGTTGAGCTTTGAGATATTAATGTCTGTTTGATGAATATGTCTGTTTGATTATGATTATAACCCTATGGTATGTCAGTCAGAATACCTATGCTAACAGGGTAGTGTTAGTCTTTGTGCACATCGTATCTGAACCCTAGTTGGTCGGGGGAGTCACCAACCTGTGTGGACTGATCATCCCACAGTACGGAGCCTCATGCTCATTGCATTTTGATTTTCTAAGAATTTTACCATATGATATTCTTGTTATGCCCTATTTGAGAAACCTTTTTATAAGAACCTAAATTCATACTTGTATATATATATTTCTCATTGTTGTATTATCTCGTGTGTGTATATTGAACGTTATCTACTTACTGAGTTGTTAAACTCACACTCATTATTTATCATTTTCAGGCTTATAGCTTGATAGCAGGTTACTTTTATTGGATCTTCAGAACCTGCTTTTTTGGTTATAATCCGTACATTTTCCGTTATGTCTAATTAGTGCTCCAAAACTATGAAATTATATTAACTCTTGTATTAAAACAATTAAGTTATATTATAAAATTAGTTTGTTGTTACTGCTGTGTTAAACTCTGATTGAGTTAGGATAAGTTTGTTTGTAAGTTTGGGTTCGCATAGGTATGAAACCTTGGAGAGGAACCTTGTTTATGTGCTGGTCATGGATCCGGGATTCGAGTCGTGACTCAGGAGGTCAGCAACAATCACAGTGCTCTCAAAGTAGGGGACAACAAGCATCACGATCATTTCAAGCAGCAGGCCAGCATCCGTCATGGTCTTCTTAAATAGGACAACATCCGTCATGGTCATCTCACATAGGAGAGCAGCAGCCATCATGGTCCTCTCAAAGTAGGGGATTTCAGGCATCATGGTCCAGTAATATGGAACAGTAGCCATCAGGAACCTCGCATATGATTGAATGCCATCCAAATGAATCTCAGAGATGTCAGGATAAGTACCATTTGAATCCTCAAAGAATGAAGGCCAATATTCTTATGGATCACCTTCAGTGGTCAGACACCATCCTGTAGGATCCTCTCAGATCGTTGGACAACATGAATGGCAAGACAACCAGCAGCTAGTAACTGCTTGAATCCTTGTTATGCAATCTTCTTTGCTCATTGTTCTATTTTTGTTCTAACAGAAAATTCTAAATCATTATTGTTGCTGAGTGGATTTTGCTCATTTGAGGGAAAGGTTACCTCCCTTATTTATACCATAATCCTTGGACAACATGAATGGCAAGACAACTAGCAGCTGGTAACTGCTTGAATCCTTGCTATGCAATCTTCTTTGCTCATTATTCTATTTTGGTTTTGACAGAAAATTCTAAACCATTGATTATAAAACTTAATTTTTAATTAACTAAAATTTTAAAAATAAAATAAAAAAATCAATAAAAACAAATACTAGAAGAAATGTTTCCATCATATTATAAGCTAAATCCACTCACTTAAAAGATCCAAAGATATATGAGTCTCAAAAATAAAAAAGAAGCCTGTGCATATAAAAACTAATAAAAATCAAATTAAAAAAAATCAAACTTATAAAAATAAAACAACATCCAAGACCAAATGTTTTTAAGCTCAGCTCCTCTAGGTCCAAGAATATAATAATTAATAAGATATCATATTTATTGTTTTTTGAAAAAAATCAGCTAATTAGATATTATATTCATACTCAGTGTTTATTTGAATTTTTTTTTTAAAAGTACTTTTAAAAAAAATTAAAATTTTATTTAAAATTAATATATTTTTTATATTTTTAAATTATTTTAATATACTAATTTCAAAAATAATTTTTAAAAAATAAAAAAATATTATTAATATATTTTTTTAATAAAAAATATTTTTAGAAACAACTGTAATCAGATTTTTAAATAAATTTTTAATATCTACAAACTGAAATTCTATTCATATCATTAAAATTATAAATTGAATTATAAAATTACATAATTTTATATATAATAAATAAAATCAAGTTAAAAACTTTAAAACCAGCAAAATCAATTAATCTCGAATAAAATCAGTCAAGATAAAACCAGCCAAATCAAACAGATTTCACGAGTTCGACAAAAGTTTACAATATTACTGACTAATACCAGCAGTGCAGCTGATTCCTGTTCCACTCTCCAGTCTCCACTCACCAGCAGCGCAAAGATTAATCTCATTTTTTTCTTTGCTTTGTTTGCCTCTGATCTGATTGTCTCTACTCTCTCATATGATTTTGCTTGCCATTGTAAATGCTGGATTCCCTTCTTTTCTAGATAGTGGCCAGGTTTGCTTTCTGGAATCTCTTCTTTTCTTTTAAGTTTTATTATGCGGAATAGGGTCATGAGCTTATATCATTTTTGGTGGTTTCAGTTAAATAATCTTGAACTTGTTGTTAATCTTCTTGGTGCTGAAAATCTGGTAAACACATTACTTGCTGTTAATTTCGGTTGGACATTTTCTCTCCCTGTTTTCCCTTTGCTTCGAGTCCATCTTGTGGTTGCTACATGGATAGAGTTCGTGAGGGATTTTTATGGTGTAGAGAGGGGCATGAAGAGAAAAATAGTTTGTTAAACATCTAAGATTAAGGGAGATGCGGGCACTGTCTGTGACCCGATGTAATCTTGGTGAGTAATGCCACAGTTGCTTCATCTTTGCAATTATGGAACCTACAAGTATGCAGGCTCGTCGGGTTTGGGAAAAAATTGTACGCCCTTTCAGTTGGTGTTTGTTCCACTTTTCTGAGGATCATGAACCTCTTAAGATGCTCATAAACCTCATTGATAAACAGAATGGCTCGACCAGATCTTTCATATAATTGCTAATCAAATGTTATAGCTAATGTGGGAGACAATCTTCTTTCTGTGGTCAACAATGGTGGGTAATATTTTCTTTGGTTAGGCACCCACCATTCTTACCATGTCAAGTATGGCTGCCACCAACCATGGCTGCCACCAGCCATTTGTGTCCACACACATAACACGACTGAGTCATCGGTTAAT